ATAAAAGCAAAGGGTCTTAAAAAATCTCTTATCAAGAAAGAGCTTACCCATAAAATATTCGAGGACTGTGTTTTAGAAGGGAAAGAGGATAAGCCACGAACTGCTCAATTCCTCCGAAGTTATAGGCATCGAATGTACAGGATAAAACAAACAAAGAGAAGTGTTAATCTACTAGATACGAAATTGTGGATAGCTCAAGATATGGAAACGACATATTTATATGGTGATTGCGAAATTCCAGAAGAATAAATATCTCACTAAATCATTCTACTTATTGTAATGTATATCGAAGCTAGTGTTGGAGACACATATATCTATTTTTTATGATCGAACGATAATAAATATAACAATTAAATAAAAAGTCTTAGTTAATAAAATCCACACATTTGAGATATACAATATGCATACATATAATCCACTTATTATTCCGGATACTATTGCTGAAATCGTTCAAAAACTTTCATTGGAAGATCTCAACAAATTCTGTTGGATAAATCGCACTTGGTACAAAGAAATTCAGCACGAACTCCGAAAAAGATGGGAGATACAAGTGTTAAAAGGCTATAAATTAGGACTTGAAAGAGATAAAAAAATAAGTGAAGCACAAGAAAAATATTCGGATGATGAGGTAATACAAGGATATATCGAATTTGGTATAGCAAATAATTATTGGGGTAAGCAATTCAAAAGTGCTAAAAAACAGGTAGAGATTGAAAAGTATATGCTTGTTAATGGAATGATAAGTAAATCAGAAAAGGAGATCGTTAAATTTAATATACAGCAAATAAAAAATAACGCAATCCCCTGGGATAGTATAGAAGATTGGGATTTAGCAGAATTAGAAGATTGGGATGATTTACCTGAATTGATCAAACAAGCCTAGAGATTAATGTAACGAGTGATCAGTTAACGATTGATAGAATTTTGGATGTTGGTAAAACACGTTGAGCATTTATAGCCTGTGGCTGCGAAGCAATAAACTACGCATTTTTTTTCACACTGGGATATAACAACCTTATAACTGCGAAGCAAACATGACTGATAAAAAAATCCCAGTATCGACACAAGCTAATCTTTCTATAAAGGAGAAACTTCTCAAGAATATTTTCATCGCAGGATTAAATTCCAAAAATCAGCTGGTAGCAGAAGAATACGGAAAATATCTTCCATTAGAAGGTTTAGTAAAATTGCTGACTATAAATGAAATACATGCTAAGCGTGATCCACCCCCGCCATATCACCCATGAAATTTAAGGATCGTAATAAAAAATTTTTAGCAAAGGGTTATAACATGTCTGATCGCATATATAAGATTATGATGATGCCGAGCATCGAGTCTTTGACTCACCAATAAACGATGAGCTAATTCTATTAATTTCATTCCGAGATTTTTTATTTATCAAATGTAGGGAAAGCGAGTTGACCTACCCATCTGCCATATATATTTTTTCGGTTAGCTCCATTGGTTATCTATTAAATAAAAAGTCTCACTTAATAAAATCCACATGATTGATATATACAATATGCATACATGTAACATACTTATACTCCCGGATACTATTGCTGAAATTATTCCAAATCTATCATTGGGGGATCTAGATAACTGTATTCAAATTAACCGTACATGGTATAAAGAAATTTGTCATGAGCTTTATAAGAGGCGTAAAAACTTTAATACAAAATACTATGATTTATTGGAGAAACTAGACAGATGCCATAGAAAATCGGATATAAATGATAATGAAATTGAGCCTATATATAATAATGCATTAATAATATTTGATGAGCTCGTAAAAGTAGAAAGGTATTTATTAAATAAAAATATGATCTTCAGTAAAAGAATTAGAAATGCGATATTGACCAATATTGAAGAAGATAATTATGGAAACCCATTAGATTCATATAATTTTGGAGAAGATACATTCGAATATATAAAATATCTCTTCTAATGGTGAGCAAGCCCGAGCCTATGTATATTAGAAAAAATACAAATTTTATTTGATCGACTTTGCATTCAAACACATGCTTCGATTACGGATAATAGAAACGTATTACGTAAAAATCGGTTAGTCCAGATCGTGATCACAAAATTAAATCATGTCACGTTATAGGGCAGGCACGAAGTTGGTACAACATAGATTATCCCTATTTTTCTGCTATATAAATAGAAAACTTCCTGCTCATAATGAGAACCAACGCAAATAAAACTTGAAAACGATATAATTGGAAGGGTTCGCCACCCCTTTTCAGATTTTTTATCAAAAACTGTTTCATATGTAGCTTTGGAATCTCCGCAATCTCCATAATCAGCGAGATCTATACCTTCTGACCTATCTAGTGTAACTTTTCGCAAATCAAACTAATATATAAGGTCAACAATTCACCCAAAAACGAAAATTCTTTTTTCTACATTACATTATCTCACTTACAAACGTAGTGCATAAACCAGATTTTTTTACGCCGTATACCGATATAAAAAATATGTCTTCTCACGCTTCTTCACCTTCTTCACCCTCCTCACCTTCAAGCATATACACCGACGAAGAAATAATAACTCGTACCATGGGGGATGTTATTAAAGATTATGATACTGAGGAGCTTATCGACTATTTGGATAGGAATAATTTAAAACTTAAAGAATCACATTTTGCAATTCTTCGTAAACAAGAAATAGCTGGTCGTGCCTTTCTCAAGTTAACAGAAGAAAAATTTAGAAGTATTGGCTTTGCTTTGGGACCTGCAACTATTCTTGCTGATTTTATCGAAGAGCTTAATAAAACAAAATTACAGGCTTTCTCGTCATATAATTCATTAGATAAACTGAAAACATTACTCCGTAAATATAAAGTCAATGGTGAAAAAATTACATGTATAAAACAATTTAATCCAGGTAAATGATATATATTCTTTCCTGTAAGAGAATACTTGTACTACCGAAGGCACTTGACTAAAGATACATATTTTTTATTGCGCGGCAATGGGATTCCACCCCTACAGTTTACGAAGAAATCGGTGATGATGATAAAGCTCTCAAACGGTGTATGAAGGAAATTATATTAAGACTTTCGAATTTGGAGACCATACAAGACAGTACCAATGAAGCAACCCGTTGTGTTTTTATTACATCTATCCTAAACGCATCAATTGCAATTACTCGAAAACTCACCAACAATGAAAAAATATATATTGCATACCAAGATGATGTATCCGGCGAAGATAGCTCTGGACGTGTTGATTATTCAATCAAAGGCTATGAGGATCTTATATGTATAGCTGAGGGAAAACCACGCAATGTTGAAATTGGGTATCTCCAAAATATAAAACAACTGGAG